ACTGTGTGTGTACTGTGTGTGTGCACTGTGTGTGTGTAATGTGTGTACTGTGTGTGTGTACTGTGTGTGTACTGTGTGTACTGTGAGTACTGTGTGTGTACTGTGTGCACACTGTGTGTGTACTGTGTGTGTACTGTGTGCACTGTGTGCACTGTGTGTGTACTGCATGTGTGTACTGTGTGTACTGTGAGTACTGTGTGTGTACTGTGGGTGTGTACTGTGTGTAATATGTGTGTACGTATTGTGTGTACGGTGTGTGTACTGCGTGTGGGTGTGTACTGTGTGTACTGCGTGTGGGTGTGTACTGTGTGTGTGGGTGTGTACTGTGTGTGTACTGTGTGTGTACTGTGTGTACTGCGTGTGTGTGTACTGTGTGTGTACTGTGTGTGTAATGTGTGTGTACTGTGTGTACTGCGTGTGTGTGTGTACTGTGTGTGTACTGTGTGTGTACTGTGTGTGTACTGTGTGTGTACTGTGTGTACTGTGTGCGCTACTCGGCAGGCAGCCTTCTCATCATGCGGTTTCGCTTGTGCGCACCCATTTTTATGAAATTCATCTACTACCATGTAAAGCGAGGGAAACCTGTACATGTTACATTACAGTGCATGCACATCATGAAATTATCATATGTGCTGAATTACTATTTTATTTAGAAATTATTGCATTTTATTGTATTTATTGTTTGCAACACAGAAAATGTGCATTATTGTTCTACGCGTACCTACGATGGACATGCGGACAAAATGCCATTTCATAAGACAAATAAATCCCCGATAATTATCGTTGATGTCACATGAGACCCCTTAACTTTGCTCTGCTAACCATTTTGGGGATACTTGCGAGTACGTTTTCAATTCCTAACAACATATCACCCAACGTATTGTGATGTGGTAATATTTAAACAATACGCAGAACGGCGTTGTATTGTGTATTATTATTATGTGTATGTGTGTGTGTATATCAAGCGGTAGTGCAGCGGTTTAGCGCGCTACGGTTCGATTCCTGCTCATGGCCAACACCGGTAGCGATTGTCTGAACCGGTCCTGGGCCTCCCTTAGGTCGACTCAGCCTCAAATGAGTACCTGGTGCAGTGTGTAAACATCACCACTGGGGAGACAAAGGCGGCCAGGCGTGGTGCTCGCCACCCACTACCACGTGTGCTGTGCCGGCCTTAATAGGTGCTCGCTAACAGCACTCGCCCCAATAGTCTGTTAAGGCTATCGAGTTATTTGTCTCTAGATTTGTCTTTTATATATATATAAACACACACGACCTACGTTTCAAGACACTTTTTTTTGGATGTCTCAAGATGGATCCAACACCCAGAACGTTTTCAAAATGAAACATTTCCATCAGCTTCACAATATGTAACTGGTTGGGAGTGGTGGTGCAGTGGTTAGCACACTGGCACTGAGCAACCGAGCTCAATTTCCAGCCGTGGCCAACATTAGCGGCGAGCAATATCCAAAAGGCCCCCCCCCGCCCCCGTTGACCCTCCACCATTCACCAATCTGCACTGCCCAGCATGGTGAAGTACGGTCAACCGACACAGCACAAGTGACACGGTACGGGGGTGGCCTTCATCGACAAAATCTGTGAATTTTTTGACCGTTACGGATCGTCCCATCGCAGAATCGCGAGAGGTGCCAGCAGATATGGGGTGATGGCCTTCATCCAGCAGTGGATGGAACATGGCTGACGACGATGGGTTTCGCAATTGATTCGGCCACACGTACAAATGTTTCATTATCACGCGGAGGAATTGCTCTGACACCTATGCGCTACAACTTTGGCCACGAAAAAAGGTACGCAAGCCTGGCACCGAGGTTAATATTGTATTACTAGCAGCATTAACCTTCAAAATCTAGCGCATGTTAAACATGTGCTGGTTATTTGTACTACAGTTTGCGGTTTTTAGTTTCTGCCCCTCCAGGGATGGATGAAGAAACATGATCACGCGTGTACGTGCACGCGTCCGTGCGTGCGTGTGTGTGCGTGTGCATGTATGTATGGGTGTGTGCGTGTGCATGTATGTATGGGTGTGTGCGTGTGCATGTGTGTATGGGTGTGTGCGTGTGCATGTGTGTATGGGTGTGTGCGTGTGCGTGTGCATGTATGTATGTATGGGTGCGTGCGTGTGCATGTGTGTATGGGTGTGTGCGTGTGCATGTGTGTATGGGTGTGTGCGTGTGCATGTATGTATGGGTGTGTGCGTGTGTGTGTGTGGGTGTGTGCGTGTATGTGTGGGTGTGTGCGTGTATGTATGGGTGTGTGCGTGTGCATGTATGTATGGGTGTGTGCGTGTGCATGTATGTATGGGTGTGTGCGTGTGCATGTATGTATGGGTGTGTGCGTGTGTGTGTGTGGGTGTGTGCGTGTGCGTGTATGTATGGGTGTGTGCGTGTATGTATGGGTGTGTGCGTGTGCATGTATGTATGGGTGTGTGCGTGTGCATGTATGCATGGGTGTGTGCGTGTGCATGTATGTATGGGTGTGTGCGTGTGTGTGTATGTATGGGTGCGTGCGTGCGCATGTATGTATGTATGGGTGTGTGCGTATGCATGTATGTATGGGTGTGTGCATGTATGTATGGGTGTGTGCGTGTGTGTGTGTGTAATGGAGCGGTAGTGCAGCGGTGAGCGCGCTGCGCTACGAACTCGGCGACTCGAGTTCGATTCCCGCTCACGGCCAACACCAGTGCGATTATTCTGAACGCTTCCTGGGTCTCCTCTAGGTCGACTCGGCCTCAAATTAGTACCTGGAGCGATGCGTGAACATCGCCACCGGGGAGACAAAGGCGGCCAGGCGTGGTGCTGGCCACCCACCCCCTCCATGTGCTGTGCCGGCCTTCATAGGTTGCTACTCGCGAACAGCACTTGCCCCGACAGTCTGTTGAGGCTATAACAGGGGATCTTTGTCTTGTTGCGTGCAATCGTCGGCACTGGGGACACAAAGGCGGCCGAGCCTTTGTGCCGCTGACAACGCAACTCCATTGTGTGCCGCGCTGGCCTAAATAGACGCTCGCCGACAACCCCGAAACCCGGCCATACGGGGGCTCTCTTTGTCTTTTAATGTGCGAGGAGCGGTGGTGAAGTGGTTCTCACACGCGCGCGTGTGCGTTGGGCTATGAGCCCGGCAAGCCGCGTCCGTTTGCCGGCCACGATTAACGTCGGCGCTGGCGAGCGACATCTGAACCGAACCTGACGGTTCCCTCTTAGGTCGACTCGGCGTTCAAAGGCAGCCCCCGGTGCAGTGTACACCGGGGGCTGGGGCGATGAAGCGGTCAGAGTCGTTGCTGGCCACACCACGCCCTCGTGGGCCAGGCCTGGACCACCTTAATAGGTGCTCACTACCCCCCCCCCCCCCCGCAACAGTCTGTGAAACGCTGTGCAGAGGATCGTTGTTTTTTGTGTGTGTGTTCGCCTTCCAGCGGGGGGAGTGTGAAGCCACGGGGCCACGCACGCACACCGCGCTACGATTCTAGTGATCCAGATTCTACTCCTGTTGGCAATAGGCGTCTCAGCTTGGCATGGGCCTCTCCCCCCCCCTCCCATGTCACACCTCAGCCTAAAATGAATGCCAAGTGAGTCACGTTAACACCGGCAATGGGGGGGACAAAGGCGGGCGAGCGACCGAGCAGGCGGGCGGGCAGGCGAGCGAGCAGGCGGGCGAGCGAGCGCGCATGGCGTTGGCCAACTACGTGCTAGAGTCCTCTGCCGGCCTTAACTGGCGCTCACTAACGATGCTTGCCCCCCCCCCAGTGATACTATGAGCCTGCAAAGATCATCTTTTTTTCTGTGAAAATATGACTGCCTTATCCACAAGAGGTATTTGGCTTAGATCGCTTAAATATAAATGCGTCTTTAAACCCTCCACCACCCGACACAGCCAATTGGCAGGGTTTCTCACGTAAACAACACCGGTGTGTTGGAGAATAAACCCACAACATTTACAATTCGAGTACGACGTTTCGCCAGTAATTGCAACCAGCATCATCAGGTGACAGCCAGAGTTTTGGAGAAATCCTCCTGTTTCGGTCTCAGCATTATCCCAAACTGAACGAAACACAGTTTTCGCTGTAACTGTAGCACAGTAGAGAAGCGCAGCTCTGTCAAATTGCCATGGACTAAGCCCAGTGACAAGAGCTGGCAGTGCATACAACTATACAAAGAGAAAGATCCCCCCGATAGCCTTAACAGACTGTCGGGGCAAGTGCTTTAAGCGAACACTAACGAAGGCCAGCACGACACAGCGGGGGGTGGGTGGCCAGCACCACGCCCAACAGCCTTTGTCTCCCCAGTGGCGATGTTTACAGAATGCACCAGATACTCATTTGAGGCTGAGTCGACCTAGGGCAGGCACAGAACTGGTTTAAATAACCGTCGCTGGCGTTTGGTCGTGAGTGCGAAGCGAATTCGGGTCGCCGGGTTCGTAGCGCACCACACGTCCACCCATTCTAAAATAAAATAACAAATCATCATAATTACAGCCACTTCTGGATAACGACTTCGCCAAGGTGTGTCCGTCATGGTTGTTGTTCGACCATACTTCACCACGCCGGTCAGTACGAGTTGACGAGGGCGGAGGTGCGAGTCAAGGATCGGTTCAGATGTCACCTCGCCACTTATGTTAGTCACTTGCCAGAAATCAAACTTGTCGGGACTGGTTTAAAGAACAGTGCCCTAACCACCGTACGTAGCCAACCGTGTTAAAACTGCATATATATTTTAAATGAATGTGTGCGGGCAGGCAGGCGGGCAGGCGGGCGCTTTGGTCAACGCGAATTTGTGGCCAAGCTCCTACGAAGCGGCCATTTTGTTTGGCTTTCACGGGCTCGCAATGCAGATGTTTTACAAACGTCCGCGCAAGTTGGTTGTTTTTTCTGGGAGCGATATTGAGAAACGGCAACGGCGAAAAGATCCGGGCAGTTAAAAAACGCCGCCCCGCTGCCGCTATGTGGTGGCCCGAACGTTCACGAAAGGGGGGAGAGTTTTACTCACATGGGCTCGCGGCGTGGACAGTTTTATCGTCTTCCTACATTTCCTGGACTCTGCACAACAAAAGTAAAAAACATAATAAAAAAAACATTAGCCGGCAAGAGCAGGAAAAATGGCGACATGATAAAATCAACATCCTTTGCATTTGTATCGAGATTATAAAATGACCTGATTTAAGAACAATCCTAATCTGAGAATTATATATGACCAGTACGATAAGCGATTGGTTTCATATTCATGAAAGACCAAAACTCGAGACAAATGTCAAAATCTCATCGGTCGTCTTTGCGTGAACACCGTCAAAAGCTCTCTGTACGGGCATTTCAACGTTTTCAATACTTGCACAAAAAAAGTATTACAAAGCACAATAAAGAAAGACTTAACACTTCATAAAATCCCAAACTTTAAGACACACACCAACAAAGACGCGTACCGAACAAACACAAGCGCGCGCAATCATCGTGCGCGATTCCGGCGACAGCAGAATGCAAGCGCGCACAGTGCGAGCCCGGACTTGGATGCGAACCCGGAGGAGAGCAAGCCGCGGAGCGACGTGGCGGGCCAAAGTGGCCGCCACCGCCACTCCCCCCCCCCCACCTCCTGTGCTGTGGGCGGTGCTTTCGGCCGCTGGAACGGGGCGGCCAATTTCCGAGAGCCGCCCGCCAGCCAGGAGGGAAGCGGAGGAATTTTTGTCGGCGGTGGCCAAACGTTCGGCATTTACGCGCGCAGGCTAGAGGCAGCGGCGAGGCGAGTCCTTCCCCCCCGACCCCACCCCCGCCAAACCATCCGCGGACAAGACGGCACCGTAAAAAAAACGCGCGCACGAACGCGTTTCCTTCGGCTTCACGCATGGCGCGATGCGACGCGGCATTCGCGTGACGCGACGCACCGCGAAAGCCGTCGCGCGTCGTCTCGGGAGGAGGAGACGGACAACGGGGAGGCCGCCACTTTTCGAACGGGGGAAAAATATTCCGCCAACTAAAAAATAAAAAGAGCTCGTTGGGCGACCCGGGTCTCGAACGAGGGCCGGCGATCGTCTACGTACGCGACGACGGGGCGACGACGGGCGCTTGGCACCGCTTGCGGAAATTTTTTTAGTATAACCCGAGCGGCGACAAAAGCGCACTAAGACAACGACGACAACAACAACAACGGCGGCAGAACCGCGCGTCCCGCCTGCTGCGCCGCGTTTCTGCGTCGCCAGGCGCGGCGGCGGCGGTGGCGGCGGCGGCAGTAGCGGGCAACCTGCTCCAGCTCACGGGAGACCTCGCGCCTGCCTCGCCCCACACGGCTGGCATTGAGACAGAGCAGAGCAACGAGGAAAAAATAGAGACCAACGACCGCGTCGCAGCGGCGTGTTGCTGTTGTTGTTGTTGCCCATCCATTGTCGTGACCGTGGTGCAATGACGCCGGCGGCGTTGCTGGCAACATTGCATACGATGAGAGTGGGGGGGGGGGTCATCTTTGTTCATACGGTTAGGATACATGCCCTTTTAATAGCGCCGTTGTAATTTCTGGTCAAGATTCGCTTGCGCGCCTTGGCCGAAGCCAAGGTCGTCAGTCGGGTGTCTGGCCACAAAATCGATGAGTCCACTGTTTATTAAGACCAAGGCAGCGGGGGCTCAGGAATTATTATTATTATTAAAAATCCCAAAGCAAAATGTAACACGTGTGGTTCTATCAATTCTACATACTGCATTCGGTATGCGTTAATAAACACACAAGACAGACAGGTCAGCGTGGTTGGTAGACAGGCCAACAGGTCAACAGGCAGGTAGGTAGGTCAGTAGGTAGGTAAGATACGTTGGTCGGCAGGTAAACAGGCAGGTTGACAAGCTGGTCAGACATGGCTGATTGATAGATCGGTCGGAAATCTAAATAGACAGGTAAGGGGTAAATGTGTCAGCACTTGCCCCAACAGTCTAGCAGTCTGCTGTAACAATTATACCTAACACAGGAAAGCACATTTATCCACCACTAACGCTCAACATAAAAAAAACCCTACTGTAAAATAAACACATCTCAACATTTGTTTCATGACCATCGGTCTTGCCATCTTCATCCAGCAGCGGATAGCTCACGGCTTGAATAAGACAATGGGCCTCTCGATAATACAACAGCGCACGCGGCGCTCGCTAATGCAACCCGCAAGCACTGGGCAGTGCGACGCGCTGAGACGCTGATAAACGCTTCCGTCGACGCTCTGTCGATCGCACCGTTGGGGCGGCGATCGCACGCCGTTCGGCAACAGCCGATCGGCGCGCGTGCACGCCGCGTGGCCCCCGTCCAACCGTCGATGGTGGCGAGACATCGGTCACTCATCCTCCTCTGCTTCCACCTCCCCCGCTCCCAGCCATACGTGCTGTCGAATCCATGCCCCTATTCATTTCCAGGTTCAACACACCTTCCCCTCTGCCTACGTACGACCGAGTCTCTCTTTCTTTCGCTCTCTCCGTGAAATGTAAACACGACCGACCGCTTCTGTGCGGCGTCATGAGATGCGACCGGATTTATACGCTGTAGAATCCCACATCGTAAAGTATAAACTCATCGACTTGAATAGAGACTCGTCGACTCACAAAGACACCCATAGACTCACGTGGTAACATAGGCTCACATACACATCCACGGACTCATTGACTCAAGCACACGCATAGACCCACTGACTCACACAGTGACCCATTGACTCATGCAGAGATCAACTGACTCACACAGTGACCCACTGACTCAGTGACCCACTGACTCAGTGACCCACTGACTCACGCAGAGACCCGGTGACTCACACAGAGACCCACTGACTCACGCAAAGACCCACTGACTCACACAGAAACCCACTGACTCACGTATAGACCCACCGACTCACACAGAAACCCACCGACTCACACAGTGACCCACTGACTCACGCAGTGACCCACTGACTCACGCAGAGACCCACTGACTCACACAGTGACCCACTGATTCACACAGTGATCCACTGACTCACGCAGTGACCCACTGACTCACACAGTGACCCACTGACTCACTCAGTGACCCACTGACTCAAACAGAGACCCAGTGACTCACGCATACACCCAGTGACTCACACAGAAACCCACTGACTCACACAGTGACCCACTGACTCACGCAGAAACCCACTGACTCACGCAGAGAGCCACTGACTCACACAGTGACCCACTGACTCACACAGTGACCCACTGACTCACAGTGACCCACTGACTCAGTGACCCGCTGACTCAATAGTGACCCAGTGACTCACGCAGAGACCCAGTGACTCACGTAGAGACCCACTGACTCATGCAGAGACCCACTGACTCACGCAGAAACCCAGTGGCTCACACAGAAACCCACTAACTCACGCAGAGACCCACTGACTCACACAGAAACCCACTGACTCACGCAGAGACTGACTGACTCACGCAAAGACCCAGTGACTCACACAGTGACCCACTGACTCACGCAGACCCACTGACTCACGCAGTGACCCACTGATTCACGCAGTGATCCACTGACTCACGCAGTGACCCACTGACTCACGCAGTGACCCACTGACTCACACAGTGACCCACTGACTCACACAGTGACCCACTGACTCACAGTGACCCACTGACTCACACAGTGACCCACTGACTCACAGAGTGACCCACTGACTCACACATAAACCCACTAACTCACACGGAGACCCACCGACTCACACAGAGACCCACGAGTGACCGACTCACCGTTTCTGTACAGCGCGTCTGGAGGTGCGGCCAAATGTAGACACCGTATAAATCCACATTGTACTGCGATCTTATAGGCTCACAGAGACCCATAGATCTCTCACGTGAAGATTACATGGGACCGACATAGAAACCAAAGCGACTGGTTGACCTCACCCCGGCGCGTACACGAGAACGCAAGAAACGCAAAGCGAGTTCAAAGTCGGCGCCACGGGACCTGCATCATCACGTCGGCATCGCCACGACCCAACAACGGCGACAACAACAACATACGTTTTGTTTCGTTCGGTGCACGGCGCTTTAACGTAAAATACCGACAATCTCGACGGGAAAGTAACGTGGAATGAATACGTTAAGAGCGCCAAGATGGGGGGGGGGGGTGTTACTAATATTCTGGAAGGTCAAGGAGAGAGACGAGATTTGGACGGGTTTGAGGCTCCGCGTTGAGATGAGACAAAGGGGATGCGATCGCAGGGAGCTTGCGGGGGAGATGCCACCGGTGCGGCGCAGGAGGAGAGAGAAAGGAGACCGAGACTGAGACGGGGAGGAGGAGGAGGTGGTGGTGGTGGTGGTGGGAACGCGACGTGATAAGGATAGCGGATGTGACTAGAGAAGAGGTGCAGAATGGAATTGCGTGTAAAATAATGGGGACATTTGAGTTCGAAGAAGATGTAAGTCTATGGTTCTCTATGCGAGTCTATGGGTTTAATCTAAGGACGGTATAAGGATTCTGTGTCTGCATGCAAGTGTGTGGTTTTCAATGCGAGTCTCTGGATAATGTAATTGTATCTGAGTCTACGGTTCCCGATATACGTCTGTGGATCAAGTAAGTGTGTGCGAGTCTATGGGTCTCTATATGCGAGTCTATGGGTCTCTATGGAAGTCTATGTGTCTCTATGCGAGTCTATGGATCTCTATGCGAGTCTATGGGTCTCTATGCGGGTCTATGGGTCTCTATGCGAGTCTATAGATCACTATGCGAGTCTATGGGTCTCTATGCGAGTCTATGGGTCTCTATGCGAGTCTATGGGTCTCTATGCGAGTCTATGGGTCTCTATGGAAGTCTATAGGTCTCTATGCGAGTCTATGGGTCTCTATGCGAGTCTATGGGTCTCTATGCGAGTCTATGGGTCTCTATGCGAGTCTATGGGTCTCTATGCGAGTCTATGGGTCTCTATGCGAGTCTATGGGTCTCTATGCGAGTCTATGTGTCTCTATTCGAGTCTATGGGTCTCTATGGAAGTCTATGGGTCTCTATGGAAGTCTATGGGTCTCTATGTAAGTCTATGGGTCTCTATGCGAGTCTATGGGTCTCTATGCGAGTCTATGGGTCT